TTATATCAAACCTAAAACTGCTATATAATTAAAATTTCTATCGAACTTCGACACGATTATAATTACAATTATTATCGACAATTTTATCAATCTATTAGTTTCGCTTGATTAATCTCTCGATTCAACTTCTCCTAACCTAAAATTCTACATTCATGCCAGCTTAAAACATTGTAATTTCTATACGATTATAATTACAATCATTATCGAAAACTTTATCAGTCCATTAATTTCGCTTGATTGATCTATCGATTCAACAATTCCTAACCTAAAATTCTACATTCATGTCAGCTTAAAACACTGTAATTTCTATCGAATTTCAATGCAATTATAATTGACAACTTTATCAGTCCATTAATTTCACTTGATTAATCTCTTGATTCAAGTTAGTCCTAACCTAAAATTCTACGTTCACTATAAATATCATCCGATAAAACCAACACAATTAAAACTAAAATTTCCTATATGAAACTTCGATATAATAATCGTAAGTTATGATAATGCAACTTCAATGTAATTTTGAACTCGTATGTAGCGCGTAGTAAATTTCTTTCTCGATTATTAAAAGTAAGGAACACACGTAACTCGGGGTATAATCTGGCTACGAGCCAAGTATCGCGTGATCAGAAACCACAAGTCGTGGTTGGACGCGTTTTCTTCTCGCCGATCTCTGTCTGTTAATTGATATTCCGCCACGCAGTGACTCGGTTACGAGTTATTCGAAAAGGTTATGCAATTGATGCATTGCATCGGTGCGCTGCACGTGCCGCGATGCGCTTGGTCGAGGAACGCACTTCCGTTTTGGGTCCGGTTCAGAAATTCCATTAATGGTTAAGTTACGTCGTTGCCACGGAGCAAAACCGTTTCTTTCCTTTTAAACGATCCACGTCCGTTTCTTTTTCTTTCGATTATTTAATTCTTAGCCCTAGTAAAATTAGAAATTTGTTTCGTTTCCTTTATAAAATTTTCAAATTCAGGTGTAGAATTTTATTAACAAAAAATTAATTGATATTAAATGATGTATCGAATATCGTACAAATTGAATAATTTGGTTATCGGCATAAAAGTTTAATTAATTAAATAAAACATATGATATGTGTAGTAAAAAAAGAACTTTTATTATAACTTATTACGTATTAATTTATTATATTATCTTTTTTTTTTATTCTCATTTTCTGAATGAAACGTTTGTAATTTATTATTGGAATAACTGGTTGTTACACTTGTTGGGCGTGTCTTGAAACGAGATTGGTAGAAAGGGAATTGATTATAAGTGTACACGCGGTAAAAGGGAATTGTAAATTTTCCGATTAAATGTTTTATCGTATTAAATCTACATACTTGTTCGATATTTTTCTTTGAATGCATTAAACTGAAAAACTGAGACTTTAATCTGTCAATAATATACGTAAGATTACGAATAAAAAATTCATATCATATTTGAATATTAATATTGCTTGAAATTATCTTATCAATTTTGAAGATTATATTATCAATCGTTCTTTAGATGTAACACTCTTTTAACGAGAAATCATTTTTTACACAACATAAAGATAATTTTTCGTGCCTTAACAAGGTTTGTTTCAATGTTTGTTTCTTTAGCCTATATAAAAAAAAGCTAGAATTTTTCTATTTTCGATTCTATAATATAGAAAAGATATCGATATTTATATTTTAAATTCTTTTAAAACAATTAAAACAATTAAATTTGAAAATAAACAAATAATCCCTAAATTGCTTACACTTTTTTTCTAATCACTTTACATACAACTACAATGCTTTTACACATGATTAAATAGTGGAGAGAGAAACGACCTTGAACAGAAAATCTTTGATTCCATCTATAACCTAGAAAACTTACGCTTTCTCAATCTGTTCCCAATAAATCTTGCAACATAAACATTAAATAATCGATCCGTACTAACAACAATTATATTAACGAATTATACAATCAATGCAAATATGAAAATTAATTAAAAACTAATTAATCATCCGTATAGTAATCGCTTTTTAATTACTTTATTCGTGTTATTTCAATGTTACGTTACACGTGAAACTTTATATACTCATTATGACATTCATAATTATATCACGTTTCAGATTTCTATATAAATCGATAATTGATTTGATTCTTCTCTAAACATAATCAAAAAAAGTGAATAAAATCCAACAATATCATTTTTCATCGAGTAATTAAATTTCGAAATAACGATAAAAGCTTACTTACTTAGCGAAAAATAGACGCGACGACACAGATATTTAATTCTAGATACTTGGCTCAAAATTGAAATAAAGAAAAATATTTAATCGTTTAATAATAATTCTGATCAACTTTTTGGTCAAATATTACAACGTCGTCATTTATCATGCGTCGCAATAACTCGACCACGATTTCTATCATGTCCTAGAAAGTCCCTATCGCGATGGCAAATCGTGACACGCGGCGCTAGTAGTCACGAACGTCCTCGCGCAACATTGGCTTGATTATCATTTTTTAGCGGCTTTCGAACGCCTCTGCTTTCACCTGCGAATGAATAGATTCTCTCTTACAACGTCAACAAATGACAGTTTCATTCACGATGGAAATGAATGAGATTGAAGAAACGAGATGATGATGATGATAATCATCGTCGATGAAAAAATTATCTTTGATCCTTGATTTAAAGTAAGGCGAAAATGATCAAACAATTGTTGCCTTGATCTTAATTTTCTTGATCTTTTTCTACTTTTTTTGATTAATTGCCGCGAATTTAATTTGGATGAAAAATTTGAATAAAAACACGATAATGAGTTATCCTTTGAAAAATTATCAGCAATATCAAGAAAAAAAAATTCAAAGATTATATTTTGATATATTTACGATTTTATGGAACAATATATTCACTATGGATTATTTTTTTTTTTTTTTTTTTTTGATTTTATTTTATTACTTCGTT